ATTTTATTAATTAATAATAATATATAATTAATTAATATATATAATTATAGTATAGATTGAAAATAAAAAAATATAAAGAATATAAAAAAAAAATTTAAAAAGTTGAAGGGTTAAAACTAAAAATATAAAGAGTTAAAAATGAAAAACCCCGTAATAAAACCCACGTCCGTTTTCCAAAACCCTAGTTCCATCTCTTTCTCTCTCTAGAAAAGTTTCTCTCTCTACATTGATGTACATACAGATTTTTGTATACATGCACGCTTATCGGAGCTGATTATTGTCCCTCTCTCGATCGTGCGATCATTCTCTCAGCCGCAGATTCAAAGGTATGATCGGTATCTGAACCAACTTTTTTGTATCGATTTCGTTTCAACTTTTTTTTTTCACAATCTGATTCGCTGTTTTCTGTATCTTCTAGCCATTTTTGTGTCTATAATCAGAGATTGCAATGAAATTGATTCGTATGTATTACACAATGGCTCATTAATTTAGTGCTTTTGTGCAAACATCTATCTGAATAATGCTTGATTTCATGAGGAATTCTGTATTCAGTTTTTTCGATTCGTTTTAATGCAAAAAATCGTCTCGATCGGCGCTTTTCCAGGAAAATGCAGTAAAATTTGGTCGGAGAAACTTTCCGTTTTTGTTCTGTGGTGGTTCTGTAATCGAGGTGAATAATTTCCTTCTACTTCGATATAAATGTTTCTCTCTTCTTAAGCTTGTTCAACAAGCTGTTTTTCCCCGTTGAATAAAGTGATAAACCGAAAAGGCAACCCTATAGTCAAACTACTATATGATTCGGCGGTAGATTTTTTTTGTTTTGGCTTTTCTTACTCAGAATTTGATTGATTCGATGTTTACGCCTATACTGTGTACTAATTAATATTATAATGAACTCGTGTTTGTGCAGTACAAGTACAAGTCGCCATTTCAATCCCTCCGCTCCTGTTATCTATACATCCAAAATCGATTCTCGCTCTCCGTGTGATCCTTACTCGTACAGCTTACTGGGCGTAATGTATATAACGGTGACGATAGCTATCTCGAAGCTCCTCATCTGAGCTTAGCTCCGAATCAAAGTAGATAGATATAACCGATTCAGCGTAGCATATTGGGTTCTTCTGTGATTACATGCTTAAGCTCCAGTTTCCGGCGTAAAATATAGGTTCCGATGACTTTGGGGTCTGTTAGTAATCGTTTGACAAAGAAAAAATTATCGTTGAGGCTGCGAATCGCATTGTTTACAACCACATGTTCGGTGGTTTTAGTGGTGGTTGCGTTCGTTACAGGTGTGTTATTCATCGCACTTAGCATTAAATCCTTATTAAATCTGCTTTTATATTTTCATCTATCCTCTTAAATTCAAGTTTCATATTCACCACTTGAATTTTCATCATTGCCTTCATCTTTTTCAGACACCGTTGCGAAACATAATTTTCTAATTCATTGCCCCATAATTTTGTCGCCTTCATTGAACGAACAACTAAGATTCTATAGAACACCTTCCTCAATTGCTTTACACTTTATTTATTGATCAACCGATTGATTTATTTAATCTCCTGTTCTTATCA